GCCTAGTATCAAGTGAAGCTCTGGTATCAGAGAAAACCAATGCACAAGCCAACTAGTGACGTCTTCATTAGAAGCACCCGGGCAAAATTATGATCAATTATTTACACTCAAATGCATTTCTCTTGTGAAAAGCTAAATCAATCAATTCTTTTAATAAATGAGACATAACAAGATGGGGGGAAAAAACTTAGCTTCTGGCCATATTTACTGCAGATACAGCACACACAGCCTCTTGGGAAGCACTGTCCACACAGCCCTGTCTCCACAGCTGATGCAAGGGCTGGCACTAGCAGACTGGTCCAGGGAGCTACATATTATTAAGGGGCTGACAACCTCAAAACCCACAAGCCCTTTCAGTGAGGGAGGGACTGTGTTTGGGGTCAGGCATGGGGAGACTCTTTCCCCGTAACAGGCCCCAGATCCCAAAACACTCATCTCAAGAGCTTAATGGATTGGGCAGTTGTGAAGAATATAAGCTTCAGATATCACAGGATCCAGGGTTGGAGGCAGGCAGAGCCTTGGAGTCTGGGGGGCCACTGCCCCTGCCACTGTGAGGGATGGGATATTGGGCTAGATGGATCTGGGTTTTTTTCTTAGCATGGCATTTCTTATGTTATTATGCCTGTCCATGCACACCGTGGGTATTCGAGGCACTTACCTATCAGGCAGCGATTAATCTCCCTGTGCCTCAGTTTCTCTACTTGTAATAAATGCTAACATTACATGAAAGAGATGTCATTAGACCGAAGGCCAGCTGTAGTGGTGGATCCAGAGGGGGTGCAGTGGTGCAGGTGCACCACCCTGCTTCAAACTGCATCATGCTGAGGGGATCTTTGGGAAATTTTTGAAGGCCTCAAAGCAGGTGAGAATCCCCCCTCCCTTCCCCAGCAGCAGTGAGACAGGGGAACAGGAGAGGGGAGGAGAGGTCTGCCTGCACCAGTGGTGAGGGAGAAGGCTGGGAGGCAGTAGGGCAGCCATCCCTGCAGCACAGGTTGCTGCTCCCACACCCTCTTGTGCCAAACCCTGGATCTGCCTCTGCTGAGCTGTCCAGTGCCCCTGAAATGCTAGTACCATTGCAGTAAAGGGTAATTACCAATTTACACCAACCAAAAAATCTCATCCTTGATTCATTAATGCTTGTAAAGGGCTTTAAGATCTTTGCATGAAAGGAACTATAGAAGTTCAAAGAAGCAACCAAATTAACACTACTACTATGACTATAAATTTTGGATAGCCGGGAACTTCTCAGTGTATTCAACATACATCAGAGAGCACAACCTTATTTTGGATAAACTCATATTTTTTTCATATAATCAAGCACTGGATAAACAAGCTGTGATTGAAATATGATATAACTGAAAAGAACCATGCTGTTGTTCATTGCCAAAAATGCACTAAGTAGCACTTAGGATTACTGCTTTCTCTAAGTTGCACAATCTGTCAAGCAAAGTTGCCACTGTAATACATGCAAAGAACAGAATTAAGACTGAGCTGGTAATTTCTTGACATTTCTGTGATTCAAATCTAAATTTAAAGGCACACTGCCCATTTAAAAAAATGATAATTCTGTCTGAAGCCTTCTACTTCCTCAGGTAACAAGTAAAACATAGAATCACTATAACAGAAAAACTGAAGAAGAGAGAAATACATTCTCTTCCTTTTGTCTTTTTCTTTGGTAGGGCAGGGTGGGACCTTAGATCGCATCCAGACAAGTGTGGCCATGTGGTATGTGGCGCTGCAAACATGTCTGCGGTGTCACATACCGCACATTCAAATGTTTTCTGTGCTGCAAGAGAGCATTGCCTGTGAGTGTGCTGCTCTCCTTTTTTTTTCCTGTGGGTTTTTGACCCCTGGTGCCCCAGCCTCCCTTATCCTACCCAGGGTAATTTGCCATGCACCAAAGCATGCGTGGCATGGGCGTTCCCCAGGAACAAGTACCAGTGGTGCAAAGTGAACTGTCACTACTTGTCCCTGGGAAACCAAATGTCCATGCTCGTCTGGATGCAGCCTTACAGACTAGCTTGTTCATAGAGGCATGAGCTTTCGTAGGCTACTGCCTACTTTATCAGAGCAACTAATAGAAAGTTGATGAAGTTGTTCAGCACTTTCTCTATAGTCAGTTGCCCTATAGACTTAGTTTTAAAGCTGAACAAGAAAAGACATTTTTATCCTGGGAGGAATTCTGAATCAGAATAGAAAAGCAAAATGCTGAAAAATGCTATTTCCCATTAAGGTCTGAAACATTCTAATCAGAAATGTCAAAACAAAAACCAATAATTGTTAAAAAATCTAAACAAACAACTTGATGAACAGGGATCCTGGTTTTCCCTGATAAAATAATCCCCAATTTTCATATACATCTATATATAGTTGCGTTTCATTTTAATTATGGAAAAATGTGGATTTTGTGTTATTTTTTCCATCCGAAAACTGGGGATTTTTTTTTTTTATTAGAGAAAACCAGGATCCCTGTTGATGAGTCAACATCATATTTTTCATTTCAAGATGTCAGAAAAAAATGTAAAGTATCATCAAAATTCATAGAAAATTCCCTTTTTGAAAAGAATGCTGTTTTCCAACAGAATTTTAAGGCGCCTCTGCTATATCTTAGATATATTTCATAATTAACTGGCTAATTACACAATAAATTTAGACCAGTCACACATGCAAACTAATTATCACCCAATTAAAATGACTATTCAGCTATAAAAAGAGCCAACCATATATAAAGTTAGTGTTTAGAAATGTGTAACAACTCTGTAGCTGGTTTCCATCAGCTTTAATTGGAAGTGTAGCAGGGCCCTTAGTTAACCCATTTCTCTTGTTGCTCATGTGTGTCTTCCATATAGCAAGAGAGAAAGTAAAGGATTTTTAAAATGCAGAAAGATTGACTGTTAAACTATAACAACAACTCCAAGGTAGCACCTGAAGCCATCCTGGACTCATTTTCTGGAATTACTAAATTCACTTCTCACTCTCCTTTCAGTAATATAGTATTTTTTTTCATAGATTAGAGTCTCAAAGCTGTGCAACTGCATGTGTAAAGTGTATATACAATGGTAATCCCATAGAGGCATAATTCATTTTGGTCCCTTATGTTCCTAATTTCCCATTTTGCTGTTATAACCCATGCACCCATCATGAGGGCTATGTGCACTCATTGCATTTGTGTGCCTAAGGTAGGCATACACTTGCATATTATCTAATAATTTGCTATCCAGGCTCCCATAACTTCATACACATTAATGTACTTATCTTTATAGTGCCCCTCTGAAGCAGATGAGGGCTATTATCCCTATTTTACAGATGGGAACACTGAAGTTCAAGGATATTAAGAATTGGCTTCATTTGCATAGGAAGCTTGTGGCACAGTCAGGAACTGAGTCCCATTCCAGTGCCCTGCCCATATGCCCCCTCTCTCATCTAACATGTTTGAAAATCTGGACTTGAGAGTGCATTCTGATTGATGCTGCATATTTTTCAAAATAAAGATAAAAAAGAAATGTAAAATATTTGAAAGATTTACCCAAAAATAAATAAATAAATAAATAAAGGAGGTCATGCTCATTAAGCTCTTGCTAGTTTAATGGGCAATTTACTAGTGAAAGAATGCAGACTATGAAGTTATAAATATCACCGCAATTTCACTGCATTTTGAAATATGAAGAGGAATAAATAGGTCTGAAAGATTAGAGGAAATTATAGGTCTTGTTTTTTTCCTCTGAGTTGTGCATCACAATTGTGTGTGACAATCGCACCAGCCTGGGCTGCAGATGAGCCTCCTTGGTGCTCAGAGGAGGGGGTTCAGCTCACCCCAAATCTAGGGCTGTCTGGTTTTAAGGCTGCTCCTATGGTTACTGTGACAGTTAACAGGTGCTGCCAGTGGCCCTGTAATTATCATTTTTTTTTGTTGGTAACAGGGGATCACCAAGGTTTACGTGAGCCTTAGGGCCTTGTGGCATGGGGTACTTAGCACATATTTTATTTAGGTCACAGTAGATATTACCATGCCATATTAAAAGTTTGAATGTGTTCTGAGTCACTGCACAGTAATGCTTATGATGATCTCTAACATGATCTCATATGCACAGCTTGTTGTTTGTCAGTCCCAGCCCAGCACCGCACAAGAGACTTGAACTAGCTCTGGTGAGGTGCCTTAGACGGGACTGACAATCAACTGACCCACAATCCCAGCCCCAGCACTGCAAAAGAGCTGGTTCCATGACTCTGGTTTGGTGCCATCAGCTGACTGCTGGTCCCAACCCTGGCACCACATCAGGGCTGACTCAAGACTTTGCTACAGTGCTGGGGCTGGGATTGACAATGAGCTGATTGTCAGTTCCAGTCCTGGCAGTACACCAGAGCTGGTCCAAGACTTCAGTGAAGTGCCAGGGCGGGGACCAACAACCGGAAAGCTGTGCTCATATTATCTTTGTGGAGCAGTCCCATGATAGCTGAATACATGACACCTAACATGATCTGGAGATACTCCCCCTGTGAAAAGTCCTAACTTTGCTATGATATGATTGCACTTAGCACATGTTTTATTGCTGGAATGCTCCATCGCTGGCATTTTAAATTCAGCTAATGTGTCCTAAGTGTAACATGCAATACGGTCCTTAATTGTATGTCTTCACACCATTTTCCCAGCCATATCCCTCTCCCAGCAGCCAGGAAGGAAGGTAGCAGCAGTTCTGTCCCACCCTAAGATTGTCCTTAAGAGGGTAATCTTCCAGTGACTGACCTTAGGCAAACCTGCCTCAAAGCACTGAAGGTTCAGGGCCTTGGACAGGCCACATCTCTGCAGAGTGCTCTCATTTGTCTGGGCAAAGGGAGCATGCCACTGTATATACATGTTACAGGTACAGCTGCACACCTACCTCTCTGAGCCTGTCACATCCTGAATGAAGCATTAAGATGCCAAGTGAATACCTTGGGGCACCTCACCCTTCCTTCCAGCCTGTGTGACAAGGGCCACCAGGATCTCCTAGAACACTTACCTGTGCCACAGCTGCCCCACCTTTGCTGGTGATGCAGGGATTCAAACTGAGGGCTGGGAACTCCTGGCCTTCAGCCTTCTGGGACTCCAAGCATCTCTGTCGCTGTCTGATCATTCCAGTTTGATATAATGATTCCTCAGGAATCCTGGAGAAACCACGCCAATATAATATTACTGTGCTTGCTGTAGCATGAATGGCATTCAGGAGGTGGGGGGAGTTCTTAACTGGGTTGGTTGGTTTATTTTCTCAAGCCAAAAACTGCAAGGCTCTTGATAACCATGTGCAAGAGCAATACATGGGGTGGGATGGACATGAATACTGCGGAACAGGTGCACAGAGACAGACAGCAAGCCTTTCCACATGGCATCCCTGCAGGAGGCTCAGACACACAGAGAGCATGACATAAAGCAAATACAGTAGAGAGAAATAAATTGGCAGACTGGTAAAGGTCTGTCTTCAGCTCACAAAAGTGAGGAAACTTCAAATTAAGCTGCCACTCAGTCTTTCACTCTCTGTATACTGCCATTGGGCAATACTTTACTGGGTGAAAGCTCTATAAAATGGTTATCAATCTTTTTCATACTCTAACTTCAAATTTAGCCACTCCAACAAATCCTCCCTCCTCTCCCCAGAACCCTCTATACTATTTTCCCATGATGGTGCATGGCATACACTGAGTAAAATGATGTAATGGCCACTCCATCCTTTCTGGTGTCAGGGGTGACTCCCGCTAAGCATAGCTAATAAATACAGCATAGCAGAAAATCTGAGAGAAGGCCCGAGAGAAGGCGATTCAATCACAGGCTACAAGTACCTAGGGGCAGAACTGAAATCTGATAGTAAAGGCCTAGAGGGAAAAGGAATAATAAAGCTACAAAGCTTGGAAGTTGATGCTAGACAAATTCAGATTAGGAATAACGTAGAGATTGTTAACAGCAAGGGCAATGAACCAGCGGAACAATTTCCCAAGTATTGTGGATGGATTTTCCATCACTGGGAATTTTTGAATGAAAATTGGATTTTTCCTCCTAAAAGTTATTCTCTAGTTCAGATGGGAATTAATTTAAGGAAGTCCTATCGTCTGTGTTATGCAGAAGATCAAAATACATGGTCGCTGCTGGCTTCATAATGTGGGAATCACTAAATGTCTTCTAACAGAGCAGCACCCAGCCCAGACTTTTGCTGCCTCCGACAGGCTGAGAATAGTTTCACCACCACCACACCACATACACACAAAAAACTGTACAACAGGGCTGTCAAACTCATCTGGCACCACGGGCTGAATGAGTGGTGCGGGACTAGCCTGCAGACTGGATGAATGCCCTGTGGGCCAAATCAGGCCCATGGACCCTGCCCTTCCGTGCCAGATCCAGTGCAAGTGGCATCCACACCAGTCAGTCCTGGACCCAGCGGAAAGAGACCCTGTTTTTCAGGCACTTGGCTCCCACCACAGGAACAAGCCATGGTGCCGAGCTTCTTCCCATGGTGCTGTTTGGGCTCCACCACTGCAGCTCTCGCCTGGGTGGTTGGCTGGTGCTGTGGGAAGATCCCTCATCACAGCCAGAGTCCACCCCTGCTCTACAAGATTGTCCATTAAGAATTTCTATGTTCTCCCCTCTTCCAAAGAACCTGAAAGCAGTGGCAGAAACAGAGATTCATGAAGCACCAGATATATGCCTATCAGCATACATTAGCCTTTAGAAACAAGATTATAACTGTAGGCCAATACCTAAGTTCCGGATAAACACTTTCCAGGTACCACTTGAAGGTGCGGCATTTCAAACTCTTCCTCAGTTCCAGCCTGCTCTGGATGCTGTTGGAGAAGGGAAATTATTATAAAGATGCAATAATTATGGCAAACACACAGATATTACACATTGACATATGAGTCATGAAGACTGAATTCAGGGCACAAGGGAAGCAAAGCCAGATTTACATGGAAAACTTGGAGTCAGAAGATAGTTTCTATTACTTGCTTTGCTATATAGTCTTGGGCCAGTCACTTAATTTCTCAGTACTTTAATTGTAAAATAGGGCTAAAATAGGGCTTAAGGTGCTTTGAGACTGATGCATGAAGAAGCCTATATAACAGGGAGGTATCATTTTGAATACTGTATAGTAAATACATACTATTTAATATACTAAATCAATATGACTTTACTTTTTGAATTTTACATGTAATTAATATATATATGTATGCCACTCATATGCATATCCAATAAGTGCTTACTTGCAAAACTGCATAACAGTGTTGTTTCCCCCCCTTTTTTTTGCCTGTTGCTTTCATTGTAACGAACTCTTATTATTTTTTGGCCAGTTAAGCATATAAATAGTGTTCTGCATTCTCAGTTTTTACTGGTTTTCACTGATAAATTCCCTGTTGTTTTTTTAGTCATTCAATTTTTACTGATTTACACCCGTTTTTCAGTTCACACAGGTACAGTGGGGCTCCATAGCTGGGAATTTGGTGACAGACCCCACCTTCACTTGCCTTGCCCCTGAATTCTTAACCCCTCTAGGAGCCCCCTGGGCCAGGCAAAATAGCCCTACTGACTTGTTGTGGCTTGTGAGCCATATGCTTGGTACCTCTGATGTTATGCATGTGCAAACTACTACCGCTACTATTAAAAAGGTCCCAATTCAGCAAAGCATATAAACATATGCTTCAGACCCACTGAAATCAGTGAGACTTAACACTTGCCTTAAGGTAACCGCGGGCATTTTTATACACATTTTGAAGTTGGCGGTAGGGTTTTAATTAGAGCGGCTCCTGGGAGCTGCTCTAATTAAAACACCTGCAGCATCTTGTGTATTCAGGCCCCGTGTTTCAAAATGGTGGCGGGAGTGCTTTGACTAACGTTTGTTTGACGAGCTTTAGTTAAATTGCCTCCGCCACCATTTTGAAACGTGGGGATGCTGAATACACGAGACACTACAGCTCGCTGGAGCATTCTGATTAGAAAGCTCTAGCAGACTCAATTAATCGAGTCTACTCCAACACGTTCTAATCAGAACATGTTGGGCCATGTATATAGGTACCCCATGTGCTTGACTTCTTTGACGAATAAGGGCCAAATTCATCAGTTGAGCTTAAATGTTTTCCCTATCCACTTTTCCCTTTTGAACAAGCTCTTGTCGACTTATGAGGCTGTTGGTAACTATGCAGCAGTCAGAAGAATCCCCCATAGCTATCTTTCCCCTTCTCAGATCCCCCTCTTTTTTCTGCAGCCCTATT